TGGGATATGGTAACAACATTGCCACACGCTGCTAGCTAGGCTGAACAAATGATACACAAATGGAGCACATACATAATATACATACATAATATATATTCCAGCATACATAATATACATACATTCCCTAGCAACCAAACGAGCGGCCCAGGGGGGGGGGGGCGTCACCAGATGCCACAGTATCCTAGCAACCAGCCACGTCTTCCCTAGCAACGGAGTCGAGAAACCGGCGACTTCCCACGGATTTACTTCAGGCTGCTGTGTATATAAGCTCTGTCTCTCCATTGAGATTCATTCTGGCCTCGGTTCCTGAACACGCAACACCTCCTCCTCCGCCGCTGCCTGGCGGCCCTCGCTTCTCCTCCGCCTGCCTGGCAGTCCTCGCTCCCGCCGGCGAGCATGGCGACCCACCAGCTGTCCTTCTCTGAGCGTCCTCACCAACCAGCTCTTTTATTCTACTCTACGTTCCTGAACACGCAACACCTCCTCCAAGCAAGCTCCTCGCTGTCCAGCTCTCATTCAACCTGGAGGCCAGCAACAGGCAACATCTTCTCTAACGAAGCTCCTGCACATCTACCTCCTTCAGCACGCTACTCACCGAACGTGTCTACTGAGCAGCTCCTCACCACACGGCATCTCCAGCACCAGACTGTCTTTCATATAATTTATATTATATAAGAAAACCACCACCTTAGAGTTTCCATCCATCCATCCTGAGTGCAAGGCAACATAATATCACGAAACCCTACAAGCGCACTGTATGTGCCAGTTGTCAATCATCTTTGTATGGGCTCACATACGTACGTACTAGTAGATATCTCACAGTGCAGTGCAGTGCAGTGCTAAGGAGTTGCCGTGTGGTGAGACGCTTGCTCAGAGGTTCTGTTGGGTGAGGAGCTTGCTGAGGGAGCTGGTTGGTGAGGAGCTTGTTTGGAGGTCTTGCTGGTTCAGCAGAGTAGGGTAGAATCCTCTTCAATGGCGAGACTGAGAGCTTATATACGGCTGGAAGTAAAACCGGATGCAAGTGTCGGTAGCGACTCGTGAGAAACTCGCCGGTTGCTAGGATACTGTCGCATTGGAATGCGACTAGGCTGTTGTAGGGGAGAGATCCACTATAATATTATAGAGGAATTTTGAACTAAATCTAACCTGCTTCTAATCATCCCAACATAGGCTATTCAAAAATACTTTGGTTGTTATAGGTATTAAAAAAATAGCGGAAAGGTTGAATTTTTAGTTTTATATATAACAAATTGAGAACATGCATACTGTACCATTCATTTATGCCCACATATTTTTCTATTCATGTCAAACTAAAGAGATATTAGGGTCATGTGAATTTGAGCGCTTGGCTGTGTCTGAAAATTATTTTTTAAGTGACTCCATTTAATGTAAAAAACAAAAAACAAAAACAATATACAGTATATATATTTGTCCAGTCCAGCATAAAATCTGTAGACATTGCCAGAAACATGACTTTTTTCCCAGCTTAAGTTAATATTAATTTAAATAAAAGAAACAACGAAACAAAATCTAGGCAGCCTCGTTCACGTCACTCCAAGATGTTCATAAACACTACACAACATACACTTGTTAGGGAATGATATTTTCTAAGAAAGACAAAGTGAATATAACCTAACCTAATCTCTTATCAATGACATTAAAAACTACCGCCAGGTAGTTCTCATTTTCTCATGTGTGTGTGTGTGTGTGTGTGTGTGTGTGTGTGTGTGTGTGTGTGTGTGTGTGTGTGTGTGCGTGCGTGCGCGCGTACAGGGTAGTGTAATGCGTCTAGTGTGGCAGCATTATGTTAGTGTTAAGGTGCAAGCACTGCTTGCTTCCTCTCGCTTTCAGCTTCCGCTGCTGGCTATCCCTTGTGGCGAACCGGAAAGCAAATTGCATAAGTCCTCCCCTGCCAGTAAATACACAGCCTCTTCATCATCAAGACTTCTGACGGGCCCCCTCGTGGCAACAACACGTTAACTGGGCTCCTCGTGGGCCCAGGCTAGAACAACTGGGGATCTCGAAGCAGCAATAGGCCCCAGAGGGACAGCGCATGAGCCCACTGAGATGTGGACACGTCCTGGCGACTACCAACCACTACTCCGCTGCCTTGCAGATTAACCTTGGTAGGTATAAGGCTTACAGAGCTCCAACAAGACCCCAACGACGGAAGAGGCGGAAGCGGTGACCAACATGGGTGTAACAGCGCCTTTGCTTTATATAAATGTACCCCAATAAATAACACCAAGTTATTCATCAATTTATTCACCAAGTGATTCACCATGTCATTTACGACGAAGGCGAAACCCAACAAACTGGGCTATCGGCAGTCCATTACAACTCTCCCTCTCCCCAGTCGTTGCAACACTTGCACCACTGGATCAGGAAAAGGGAGAGCCAAGATATGTAGTTGCAGGCTGCGCTCCTGCCACACCACATAAATCAACTCACGTGCAGCCATCATCCAGCTCATCATACTGCTCATCATCATCAAAACCCCTATACTCCCAAAAGTCCTATGGCGATGGACCAGTGAAGACGGGAACAGGCAGAGATGACTGCCAGGAGTCTCTTAGTCACAGCTCTGCACATGGGCGGCATAGATAAGATGGTCATTTATGCACTGGGATCTAGGCAGTAGTGCAATCCGGTCCTGTCTGTGCAACTGAGCAGCCCATTCTAGGAGCCACTCTGCTTACCCCACATAGGGACGGGGCTAGAAAAGGTGCCCTAAACATAGCCTGCCTAAAGAACCAACCTGACTGGGCAACTGCATCCAGTAAGGTCATCTTTATGCGGTTGAAAACACAATCATAATTGCAGCCGCCCAATGAGTGACTGTGGGATAATGAGACCCTTGCACGTAGGACTCGATTGTTCTTTATTCGGTCAAAGCCTGCAGAGTACAAATTACATTTGTTACGTTTGAGATAATTAATTCACTCGTACGTTCCTTCACTATTAACGACTACATTTAATATATTTGAGTAGAGTGGGGTGTTAAACCATATAAAACTTAGGTGTTTCGGGTCTAATGTAGAACTTATTAACTCCCTGACTTGATGGCTCACTGGACTACTAGAGACTAGTCGAGCTAGTCAGCCCGAGGTGAGGGCCAGCTGTTTCACACTTAACACCTCAGCAAAGCTCGTTGTCAACACTCCCTCTGTCTCTCTCCTGTTCTCCCCCTCACTCTCTCTCTCTCTCTCTCTCTCTCTCTCTCTCTCTCTCTCTCTCTCTCTCTCTCTCTCTCTCTCTCTCTCTCTCTCTCTCTCTCTCTCTCTCTCTCTCTCTCTCTCTCTCTCTCTTCTAGTTTATCCTACTGTGGCGGTAACACTCCCCTTGTTGAACTTGCTCGAAACCCATTGTCTGCCGGGGATCTCACTCTCCGACTCCCTCCAATAGGCAAAGCTTTGTCACTGGACGTATTAACACAGAGTCCTTTGTCTTTACTTTGGCACGTCGCACCAGGCCGTCATCACCCGGTACCGCCTTCAATACCCTTCCCAGCATCCATTGGCTCCTTGGGAGAGGATGTCCAGATATGATGACGATGTCCCCAGTGCAGAAGTTGTGGTGCGCCCAGAAGTGCTTTTGTCGCTGCTGGAGTGTTGGGAGATATTCCTTAACCCACCTCTTCCAGAATTGGTCTGCAATGAATTGGGTATGCTTCCATTTTCGTCGGTATGCTTCTGCTATGGACTGATTGCCTCCAGTGGGCAGAGTTCCCGCGTGCATTTGCAGTAGGTGAAGCGGAGTGAGTGCTTCTAGGTCTCTCGGGTCGTCGGATACTGGGGTGATGGCCCTCCTGTTGACGATCTCTTCCACGGCATAAAACAGGGTGTTGAGTCGCTCGTCGTCTAGTACCTGTGTGCCCATCACCCCCTGGAGAACCTTCTTCACCGTGCGGATCTGATGCTCCCATACTCCACCCATGTGAGAGGCAGTCGGAGGGTTGAACTCCCACTCTATTTGTCTTTGCAAGAGTGTGTTCCTAACATTGTTACTGCTGTTCCACTTACTCACCACCTCCTGAAGTTCTCTGTTCGCTCCACTCATGTTGGTTCCATTGTCGGATCTGATGCGCTTGGGAGGTCCTCTGCGGGATGCGAACCTCTTCATGGCGTTGATGAATGAGTCTGTGTCTAGTGAGGTGAGGACTTCCAGGTGTATAGCTTGGGTGGCCAGACATGTAAACAAGCATCCCCATCTTTTCGCCCTGGCCCGGCCTTGTTTAACCATAAAGGGACCAAAACAGTCGACTCCGTTGCATGTGAATCTTCTGGATGTACCCGGTCCTCTGGCAGGTCAGATTGGCGTTGGTGGGTAAGCTTCCAATTGCTTCTTCGACAAATCACACACGTACGTAGTACTCGGTCGATCCTCTTACGGCACTTGGGTATCCAATATGTCTCGTGTAGCTCAGCTAGAGTGTGCTCGCGTCCTGAGTGGCCAGCCCTGGTCGAATGTACCTCCTGTACGATAAGTTCTGTGGTTTTTTGTCCCTGGGTAACAGTATGGGGTTTGTTTGGTCTGGATGGAGAGCAGCAGGCTTCAGTCGGCCGCCTACTCTGATTAGGCGCTCTGCACCCAAGTAAGGTTCCAGTCTGCTTACGTCACCAGTCCTGACGGAGTGTCCTCGTTCCAGCGCGTCTATCTTGTGGGGAAATCCCTCCCTTTGTATCAGTCGCAAGACAGCTAATCTTGCCTCATCCAACTCGCTGATCTTCAGTCGATCCCTTTGGTGACGTTCTTCTTTTGGATCGCTGAAGCGCAAGTGTATGAACCTCATGAGCCACGCCACACCTTTCAGTAGCTGATGCCATGAGGAGTACCTTGCCCATAGCCCTTTTAGGGTACTCTCCCCCCTGGTCAGTGCCCGTTGCCAGTCCTGTTGCATCTCCTTTTACCTCCGGGTCTCCATCTGCAAGATTACAAATCGTCTTTGGGTTCTTTGGCCAATTGTTTTCTCCCAACAGGAGAAAGGGGGGTCCCTGAATCTATCTGCAGTCCTTGTTCAATTCTGCCCCATGCAGGCCACGGCTGGCATCATCAGCTGGGATTTGGTTGGAGCTTACGTGTCGCCATTGTTCTGTTTCGGAATTCTCATGTATCGTTGCAATTCGGTTTGCCACAAAGGTATGGAAGCGCCGTTCAGTGTTTCGTATGTATTGAAGGGTGACCGTGCTGTCTGTCCAGAACACTGATCTGTCGATGTGCAACTCTAGTTCTTCTCTCAGTTGTTTGTCTGCTTTGGCCGCCAACACTGCCACACATAGCTCGAGCCGAGGTATGGTTTGCTGTTTCAGAGAAGGTAGCTTGGCTCTGCCACACACAAAGGAGGTACAGTGGGCTCTGTCTCCACTTGTGATCCTGAGGTAGTATACAGCCCCGTATGCTTGCTGGGAGGCGTTGCAGAAGTGGTGCAGTTGTACCGTAGTTATTGGATTTGCACATTCAGGGTGGTAACATCGAGGGATACGTACTTGAGACAAGTGGGGAAGATCATTTAGCCACTGCTGCCAAGCGGCTCTGTTATGTTCGGTCATTTGCTCATCCCACCCGATGCCTCGCCTGCACTCGTCCTGGAATATGATTTTGGCTCGTATGGTGCTCGGAGCGATGATTCCTAATGGGTCTTATATGGAGCTGACCAAACTCAGGAGACCTCGCTTCGTTTGTGGCTTCGTTGGAATCTGGATTTGGACTGCAAGTTCGTCATCTCTAGATCCCACATGATTCCCAATGCCCGCTCAGCTGGGAGCCTGTCATCCTTCAAAAGTACTTCTTTCACTTCCATGGCTCTTTCCGTTTGTGGTACTGTTCTGAAGACCCCTTTGTGGTTGCATATCCATTTTGCAAGTCTGAACCCGCCTTTCTTCATCAACTGCCTCAATTGGTGAGTGACTATCGCCGCCTTCCCTGGTGATGCTACTGAAAGAAGCAGATTATCGATATAGAAGATGCGACTTGCTTTCTTAATTTCTTCATGGAGCTTTTGCTCGTGGTCTTGGAATGTTCGTCGTAATGCATGTCCAGCACATGATGGGCTCCACACTCTCAGCACATGATGGGCTCCACTACCTTTATTCGGTAAGTGACCGGGTCTCCCGCTAGTTGGTCGTCTGTCCACCACAAGAAGCGCAGGGCGTCTCGATGCTCAGGCAGTACTCGTACCTGGTGGAACATAGCCTTGATATCAGCCATGAGTGCCACCCTTTCTTGATGGAACCTAAGCAGGACTCCCACCAATTTGTTGTTGAGGTCTGGCCCTTGCATCACTTGGCTGTTCAGGGACACTGACTCATACATTGCTGCACAGTCAAAGACTATTCTCAATTTCCCGGGCTTATTTTGGTTCAATACTGGGTGATGTGGGAGATACCAGGTTTTTCCCGGCACAATGGTAAGCTCATGGTGTGGGACTCTCTCAGCATGTCCCTTGTTGATCAGGTTTTGCATCTCTTCTCGATATCTTTGACGGAGGTCTGGGTCTTTCAGGAGACGTTTCTTCAAGCTCGCTAACCGCTGCTCAGCCAGTTTTCTGTTATTCGGGAGTCCCGGGTGTAGTAGTCCACATTAACGCCCCGCCAAACTATACCCGGGGTTACAGTGGGCTAGCCCAAAATATACCCCGGGGTATAAAATAGCCCAGGCTATATTATACCCCAGGGTATAAAATAGCCCAGGCTATATTATACCCCGGGGTATATTTTGGGCTGGCCCAGACTATGCCTCTCTAGTCCAGATTATACCCCCTTGTGTTTTTCATAAATAAGTCTGTATTTCAATGTCCAGAGTTTTTTCCATCATAATTTATATATTTTGGGCTAGACCGGACGATATCTCCTGTCCAGATTATACCTCGTGTTTTTCATAAATAAGGTAACTCGGGGGAATAATATACTGGATTTAGTATTAAGTAATAGATAAAATACAATTACAAATTTAGAAATTGGAGAAACATTAGGAAATAGCGATCGCAAAGTCATCAGATTTGACCTTAACAAATGAAGAAAGAAAATAATAGAATTGTAACAGAATTCAGAAAAGCAAATTTTATAGGTTTAAGAGATAGGCTTAGGAATGAGGTGTGGGGTGGTATTACCCCACCAGGGCCAGAACAAGTGAATTCAGGTCCCGTGGGAGAGGTAGGTTAGGTTAGGTTAGGTTAGATTAGATTAGCTGAGAAAAAAGTCAAAATTTAATATCTGAGTGTGTTTTTTAATTTAAATTAAGATAGTATAGCCAGACCACTGAGTTCAAAACAGAACTCTCATAGGGCTGGTTTCTGAGTGTGTGGGGTGGGGTGGTGGGGGTATAATCTGGCCTAGGGGGGTATGAAATAGCCTAGCCTGTTGTATACCCTGGGGTATAACCTGGACTAGCCCAGAATATAGCCGGGGTATAAAACAGGCTAGCCCACTTTAACCCCTGGTATAGTTTGGGGAGGGGGTATATTTTGGGCTGTTACACCGGTTCTTCATGGCGGAACGGTATGGGAAGTTGATAGTGCCCGTCCACCCTCGCCACTGAAGTTGACTGCAGCACCAGGACTCTTCTGTCTTCAACAGAAATGGGGTTTTCATTGCAGTAGGCTGAGGGGTACTTGTAAGCCCGGACCTACGGCCTAGAAAACAGCGCGTTAATGTTCGAAATAAGGCAAACAGAGTATTGGGTTTTATATCTAGAAGTGTAAGTAACAAGAGTGCAGAGGTCTTATTGCAACTATATCTTGCGCTAGTCAGGCCGCACCTCGATTATGCGGTCCAATTCTGGTGCCCCTATTATAGAATGGATATAAATTCACTAGAGTCGGTGCAGCGAAGAATGACAAAAATGATTCCGGGACTTAGAAACCTTCCATATCAGAATAGGTTAAAGAAACTTAACTTGCATTCCCTAGAAAGACGAAGAGTGCGGAGAGATATGATAGAAGTATTTATGTGGGTGAAAGGAATCAATAAAGGGGATATAGAAAAAGTTCTTATAATATCCGAGCAGGATAGGACTCGGAGCAACGGATTCAAGTTGGATAAGTTTTGGTTTAGGAGGGAGATAGGAAGAAACTGGTTCACAAATAGGGTGGTGGACGAGTGGAACAAGCTTAGCAACTTTGTAGTAAGTGCGGGAACTCTGGAAAGTTTCAAAAGGAGGCTAGATAGATTCATGGATGATAGAGAGTGGTAGTAACTCTCAACAGGAGCTGCCATGCACAGGCCAACCGGCCTATTGCAGACTCCTTATTTTCTTATGTTCTTATGTTCTTATGTCACATTCCCAGAAGTGTCTGACCTGTTTCTCTGAACGTGTCTCTAGCCTCAGCGGCTTTTCTGAAAAGAGGTGGTTGATTGCTAGGTGGTCACTTATTGCAGGTCCAATCGGTCCATTTATGGTCCATCCTAGAAGTGTGCGCACCGCGAACGGCTCTCCGTTCTCTCCGGTCCTTACTTCTAACGGTGTTAGGGGCTTGTGGTACATCTAACCCTATCAGGAGATCCACTCTTTCCGGTGCATGGAGTAGTGTGGTTCCTTGGTGGTGCCTCCACTTGGCAACAGCTCTGATGTCCGCAACCGATGCTTCCAATGAAGAAGGCAGGTCTTTAATAACGAGGATTCTGGGAATGTTAATGGATCGACTTCTTCTCATTCCGATGCTATTCACTTTCAGATCAATCTCTTTGGCCTTCACGCTTTTCGTCTCCTTCAGGATCGTGGCTATGGAGATTGAAACAGACTTCCCTGTTATTCGTAGTTGATTAGCTAGGCTCTCGGTGCAGTAAGACCAGTTGCTGCCTGAGTCCAAGAGTGCTCCGGTGATCACTGTTGTATTCGTCTTTCGCCTTATCTATCCCACCTTATCCTTTAATATGGGGAGTGCAACTCTGCCTGGATCTGCTAGTCATATGTCGTAATCTTCTGGCCCCTCACACTGGTTATTTTCTCGACCGTAAGTATCTCTGGCCCATTTATATGGGTTTTCTCGGTTCGTGATTACCAGTGCAACCTGCCTGTTTCCGGCCCTTTTCTCCGTAACTCTCGAGCTTGATTCGGGTTTCCATGGCCTAGCTCCTCTGGTCGTTGATTTTGGTGCCGATATGATGGCCTTGAGTTGACATCACCTAGCTTATGCCTCTTGTGGTCTGGCGACACTTCTGACTGGTGTGCATCCATGGTGGAAGCTCTTTTCATCCCTTGAAAACTGGCTAAGAGTTCCTTTCTTGATGGTTCGTCCTGGTTTGGCGTGTTATTGCGCATAGAATTTCTCGAGAAGTGCAGGAGATTCGAGTGGAAGCTATAGCAGCCATCTATGCTGCACCTTGTCTTCTGGCTGTACTTGGCCATTCGGTGAGCGTGATTTAAGCAGGCGAAACAGCGACGTTCTTCACGTACGAGTGAAGTTCGCGCTCCAGTCGACATATTGAGGAATGCTTGGCATCTCTGCAAAGGGTGATATCCAGGGCACAATGAGCAAGTGCGGTCGTCCCTTCCTCTAACCTCCTCTCTTCCCGAAGTCACTAGGTCCACAGGTATTCTTCCTGGTGAGGAAGGGTATGGGTGTGAGCCTGTTCGTCTCCCGCTGGGCTCTTCTTGTCTTTGTCCCCTCGAACCCCTCCTTGTCCTGTCTAGCATCTCCAGTACAAAATCCTTCATGCACTCGACCCCTGGAGAATTCCCGTGTCTCCTTTCATAGTCATATGCTCTATCCTCGTATCGATCCCTGATCTTTCCCGTGAATCTCTTAGCCAAAGTATTCAGTGATTCGTAAGTGTCAATTTCGTGCCTGTCTGGAAAGAACAATAACACTCCCGCGCTATCGTACGAACAATTTTGGCACCGAGACCAGTCCTTTCTGACACGACCCACCTACAGAGGCATCACGCTTCTCTACATACACATACGAGAGCTATACACACACACTCAACCCACAAACCCCTTTTCGCTGGGGTTAACTATTATTATTTTATGGACATCACACTTTAGTCTATGATTCACAAATTCACACAAAGGCGTCCCCGTTCTCAGTAGACTGTATCGGCAGACTGTTGTGTCATGGTTCGTAATGACGGCTAGCCTGTTAAAACCTAATAATTCATATTACGCTCCACGCCCCCAAAATCTGTAAACCTTCTGAGTCTCCCAGTGGAAACATTCGTTCTCTAACCACTTCATGAGATCCGAATCCTCCGTTTTCCATGTCTCATTGACGTCGGTCATAGAGATGCCGTGATTGTTGACTGAGACTAGTAACCTCTTTTTCACCTATGAATATCAGAGAACCTGATATTCATAGTGAAATTATTGTTAAGGATGTTAATTATGGAATTAATTAATCAACCTGAAGGGAACCATCAGGCCAGCCTTCTTTGAAAACGTAATCGGATGCTACTTGTCTTAGGCCCCGCCCACCGGGACTGCCATCCTGAACCTTGAAATCCATTTAATTATTGTCTTCGATAGCTCAGTCAGAGCATAGATTGAAAAGGGGATATTAGGAAATGGAAATGAGTTCGTAGCCTCAGTTTTAAACGTCAAAGTGTACAGTAACGTAGTACATTGAAATAGTTGCGTGAATGGCATTCATAACCTAGCGAGGGTGAGGGGCCCGGGCGTTTTCAACCGCGTTAGTCAACTTTGAAATCCCTCTACCCCACAGGTATGTCCACTCCTTCCGTGTTATAACTCGCCACTTTAAGTGATTTTGACTTAGTTGATAGTGATACAGTAACGTAACTGATGTGTTTTAAGTGAAGTATTCTTACGCCCTTAACGTCCTTTTGAAACGTTGATGTTCATGTCAAACACGTGAGTCAACGCCTGAAATCCCTCCAACCCGCAGATTCATCTAGGAGTCTAGGCCACGAGTCTTTAGCTTGGGGACGTCCTCCACTAGTTTGGGAGATGGATGAAGGCCAGTAAACTCGGGTAAATTCGTGAACCCGAGCGGCCGGAACTCACCACCACCTATGGGGCCCAGAGAACTGGCCAGTCTTCACCTGACGCGTTCACTGCCCACGTGGTGATATCACAGGCCGAGCCAACAACTGCCAGCCCCCATCATTGTTATGGATGAGTCCATTACTCAGTAGGGCTATTTGGTGGCTGTGTTATTCCTCCGAGGACACCTGTCGGTGTCCACCTGAATTGTCTGTGTGTGGGCCAAGGTACCACGTGGTGAAGAAAAGTACCATGACACCAGCCATGAGCAGTCAGGTTGGTGTTGTAGCTGGCGTCATTGCCATGGGTAATATTGGTGCTCAAAGGCGCTGTGAGAGAGTATTAGGTGTGTCTTGTACACCCAGTCATGGTGTAAGTGGGAACTGTACCTAAGTTCAACAGTACAAAATAAGTTAAACGTGGGAGTTGACCCCTGTAGTTGAGTGTTACTAGAATTATTCATACAATCTAACTTCATTTTAATAAACCATTTTATTGTAGGTTAGGAGTATCATTTACCTGCAGTATTTTACCGTTATTCCTTTCTATTGCTTGATACCAGAAGTACATGTACCCATGTGTCATAACCCTCGAGCCACGCTACCACAGGTCAGAGGTTATAAAGTAACTTGAAATGAGCTAACTATAAAAAAACTACGGAAAAAATAAACACCAAATAAATAAAAATAAAAATAAAGGTAAGACTTCGCGCTCTTATAGTAGGACCCACGTTTTGACTGTAACTGCCCAATGAGTGACTGGGATAATGAGACCCTTGCACGTAGGACTCTATTGTTCTTTATTCTGTCAAAACCTGCAGAGTACAAATTACATATGTTACGTATGAGATAATTAATTCACCCTAAGTTCTTTTACTATTAACGACTACATATAATATATTTGAGTAGAGTGGGGTGTTAAACCATATAAAACTTACGTGTTTCGGGTCTAATGTAGGACTTATTAACTCCCTGACTTGATGGCTCACTGGACTGCTAGAGACTAGTCGAGCTAGTCAACCCGAGGTGAGGGCCATCTGTTTCACACTTAACACCTCAGCAAAGCTCGTTGTCAACACTCCTTTTGTCTCTCCTGTCCCCCCCTTCTCTTTCTCTATCCCCCCTCTCTCTCTATCTCCCTTCTAGTTTATCCTACTGTGGCGGTAACAATAATCACAGATCAAAACAAAAACGAACTATCCAACCTCTTATGGTCGCTCGATGGAATTTCAGGACCCTTCTGGATACTGGCACAAATGAACGTCCTGAAAGAAGAACCACCCTTGTGGCAAAAGAGTTGGCTACGTCTAACATTGACATAGCAACCATTAGTGAGTTCCGGCTCCCACAAGAGGGTCAACTCACAGAATGGTGGTCTGGCTATACCTTCTTCTGGAAGGGTAAGCCTGCTGAGGAGAGACCCTTCATTTATGGAGCTCGCTTTGCCATCCACCAATACATCCTACATAGGCTAACTGAAATGCCTGTTGGGATCAACAAGTGGCTCAAGACGCTCTGGGTCCCACTGAATCACTCACGTCATGCCTTCTTCATCAGTGCATACGCCCCAACACTGGATGCAAAGGATGACACCAAGGAGGCCTTTTATGCCGACCTTGACAGAGTTTTAATCTCTAAGATAAGGTTGTGCTCCTAGGTGACTTCAGTGCCAGAGTTGGCAGAGATGCTGACATTTTGCAGGAAATCATAGGGAGATATGGACTAAGCAGTGTAATCCCAACGGCCTGCTCCTCCTCAGCAAGTGTGTTGCACACAACCTCACTATCACCAATACCTTGCTTTGGCAAGCTGACAAGTTCAAGGGTTCGTGGTAACACCCACGATCCAGACACTGGCATCTCATTGAATGCATTATTGTCAGAGAAAGAGATCACCGAGATGTCCTCATCATCCGAGCCATGCATGGCTCAGACCACTGCGAGCACAAATTTTCAGAGAGGAGCTCGAACATGGGCTGATAAAGAACCCGACAACAAACAAACCAAATCCCAGTGCCGAATGGGATATTCTCGGCATTGTCATGACAAAACCCTGCAGAGAGATCGTCGGCCAGATCGAAAGAATACACCAGGACTGGCTTGATGAAAATGACCCGGAAATCAATTTACTTGTTGATGATAAACGTGCTGCTTTAACTGACTGGCAGAACAACCCTCATTCTCAGAACAAAGCTGATACCTTCCGCAAGAAGAAAGCCTCAGCCCAGCGCTAACTTCGCCATTTAAAGAACGGCTAGTTTAAAAATAAAGCGTGTAAAATGCAAAAACTTGCAGACCAACACAAGATGCGCGATTTTTTCAATTCCACTAAAACATTTTATGGGCCAATCACTCATGGCGCAACCCCCTTCTGCTCTTCTGATGGTAACTCCCTAATTAAAGATGAAGAAGGCATCCTTCAGTGCTGGAAAGAGCACTACCATTTGCTGGTCAGCCGAAACACCGATGTGGATGTTCTAACTACCTAACATGTCCTTCAGCATCCAGAGCTGACCCACCTCAGCCATCCTCCATCCCTGGATGAGGTAGCGACTGACATCAAACATAAATAATTACAAAGCCTCAGGGCCTGATGGAACCCCAGCCGAGGTGTATAAAGTAGGAGGACCTCTGCTTACCAGCTGTCTTCACTCTCTCCTGGAGAATATATGGGAAAAGGAAGAAATCCCCCAATCTCTTAAAGAGGCCTCCATTATCAACATTTATAAGGACAAGGGAGACCAGGCAGACTGTGGCAACTACCGCGGGATCTCGTTGCTGTCCATAGCTGACAAGATTATCGCCCGAGTCCTCCTAAACAGACTTCATCCTGAGGCGAAAAATGTACTCCCAGAATCTCAATGTGGCCTTAGACCATCATGTGGCACCACTGACATGATCTCTGCTGCCCACCAGAAACAGGAAAAGTGTAGGGAACAACGTCGTGACCTCTACATGGCCTTCATTGACCTAACCAAGGCCTTTGACTTGGTCAACTGGGAAGCCTTCTGGCATACCCTCATTTTTTTTGGCTGCCCACCAAAATTCATCGTCATTGTGATGCAATTCCACGATGGCATGAACGGCTGTGTCCTGCACAATGGCACCCAGTCTGAGTTCTTCCCCATCCAAATGGGGGTAAAACAAGGATGTGTACTGGCACCATTTTCTTGGCTACCTTCCATACTCGTGCCAGTGCCAATTTTGCTGGTGGAGTGGACATCCAGTACCAGATGAAGGGTCTTTTCTATGTAAGACGACTCCAGGCAGGAGCAAAGATGTTGGCAGCACCCATTATTGAACTTCAGTATGCAGACGACTTCACCCTTGTCGCTCACACTGAAGACGATCTACAGGATATCTTGAACACCTTCATAGATGCGTATGCACACTTCGGCCTTGAGGTGAATGTATGTAAGACTCAGATTCTCTTTCAGCCTGCCCCTGGCTCAGCCACACCTCCACCATCCATCCAGCTTAACTGTACTACCCTCTCTTACGTTACCCACTTTCAGTATCTCGGCTCCCACGGCAGACTTTGATGAAGAGATTCAACATCGAATCGGATGTGCATCTCAAGCCTTTGGCAGACTCCGTACCCGTGTCTTCAGCTGTAGGGAGCTGAAATTATATGCAAAGTTTCATGTATATCGAGCAGTGGACCTCCCCACCCTGCTCTATGGCAGCGAGGCATGGGTCACATACAGGAGGCACCTCAAGGCACTTGAAAACTTTCACCAACGTAGTTTACGTTCCATCCTCCGAGTTAGCTGGGAAGATAAGAGAACAAATGCCAGTATTCTCGCTAACACCAACTGTAGGAGCACCGAGGCTACCATTGTCTATGAAGAACTCCGCTGGACTGACCATGTTACAGTAGACTTCGAAAGCAGCTACTTTACAGTCACCTATTGAATGGTAAATGCAATGCTGGCGGGCAACTGAAAAGTTATAAGGATAGTCTTAAGACAAACCTGAAAAAGTGCCAAATCGACCCCTTCACCTGGGAGATGATTACTTCACACCGTACCGCTTGGAGGAGCACCACACAAGGTGTCAATACTTTCGAGTTAGCCTGACTGCAGACCGAGGCAGACAAGCGCCAATGCCGGAAAGACGATGCCGCCACCCCTCCCGCACTAGATGTAGCCCTCCACATGTGCAACAACTGTGGACGACCCTGCCGGTCCCATATCGGCCTCGCTAGTCACCTCAGAGCTCACCAACGAAGGTGATATTCTTAATAACTCATATCAATGTATCGTAGCTGAATGATCCTCATACTCGATTCCGAGTGACAGCAAAGTAGTAGTAGTAGTGTGTGTGTGTGTGTGCGATCAAACCTTTAAGGCTTCGTTATCTCCAAATTTAAATCTTAATTTTTTTTTAAATGCTTGTGAAATTTTTATAAAACATAATACGAAAATGGAAAATATTAAAATAATTTTTGAGGTTTCAAAAGAAATTTGAGTTGCTTTAGCTAAGCCTCAGTATAACAAAGAATTAATCAAGAAACAATTAAGAATATTAAAATCATATACTCTGTGTTAAAATAGTTAACGATTTTATCATGTTTAAATGCTGTCATTGAAATAAATTAATTTGATGTTGGATATTCATTAAGTAAACCCAGTGAAGAGGAGGACGCGAGTGGTCCAGTACCCGGGTATCGTATGCCGCATCTCACATCACAGGAGAAACTGTCGTACTTCAGGCAAGACAAGATACTCCCTCAGTCTCGTAGGTTGTGTGTCACGTGATCTTATCTCTCGTCTTGACATATTCAACAACACACCACCGACATATTGGCAAGAAATCTTCCCCAGATCAAGAATTCTAGGAAAAACTTGCATTGACGTCATACAACCATCTGCATGCTTGGCCAACCATTTGGTGCTCTTTAATGTGCAAATTTATCTGTATCATACTAGGAAAAATAATGTAGATAAAGAAGCAGAAAATGCCAAAGTTTATAAGACAAATAATGACAGTATTTGTAAACCATGTGATTATCTTAGGCTAGTGTGCCCATACAATAATTATTACAGTAAGAATGAAAAAGGTAATCATTAACTTTTCACGGCCTTGAAAAAATATAAAGCAGAGGAGTGTTGAGAGGAACACTTGTACCGCGCCCGCCAAGTTGAAAGAGTAGTGAAGTGTCACAGGAGGTCGGTCAGGTCATGGCAAGGTGCTTTTCTCCAGTACTCCATCTTTCCAGTATACTGTATACATAGTTTTTAGTATATATTCAACGGGTTTTCCTGGTTAACTTATTGTGGTACCTGTCAGTAATTTTTGACGGAGGAAAGTGTTTTACGACCTTGGTAACGATTCATGGGAAACATAATACTGTCCTCGTGCACAATTAGACAGTGTTTCAACTTTGACCATAAGGTTAATGTTGACTTTTGACGGGGAGATGAATTTGACGTTCTGCACCTTATCTAGATAGAAAGTTATGCTTCAGACAGAATTTTCAACTTTGAAATAATTTTTTTTTCTCCTAGGAATGGGAACCTCATTTTGGTTTCTACCCCGAAAGGTGTATCTATATTGAATTGAATTGAATTGAATTGAAACAGTT